TTTGCTTTGTTTATAAAGAGGTCATCAAGTATGTTGCATAAATTTGGTTAGATTGCAAGATAGATAGAGCTATCAACAACCAAATTAGTTTGTACTAATGTTTCAACTCGTTAGAGTTCTACATATATGACGATTGAATCTGTTTTTATTATAGATTCATAATTTTCTGAGTATTCTTCAAGGGATCTCAGTTATATTTGGTTGCCTTCTGATCAAGAGTGGAATCATTTTGATGAAGTAAGACGAGTGCTTTCTTATCTTCAATCATTTCACTGAAATTTTTTTCTTGTTCAAGCCACCCAACCTCTAATAGGATTCTTCCAAATTTGATTATTATTAAAAAAAATGTTGGTAATGCATTTCTCTCAAACATAGTCATTTCTATAAGAGCAAAGTTTGATAAATATTTGTCATATTCTTATATGTTATTTTTAAGTGCATCCAAACTAGATCCTAGAATGAAATTGTTTGGGATCATTTATTAACTCTGCAGGCCTCCTTATTTTGTAAGAAACTAATTTAGAGATTCACTTAGAAGTGGCTTGCGTCAAGTACCCAAATTCTGGAGCAATTATTGCATACGGACATCGCATGTAAATTTGCGTACGGTGTCTGATCAGGACCACCGAAATACATTTTTGTTTTGTTTTTTTTTTTATTATTGTTAGAGTCGGGCCCACTCTAATTCCTTCGTGATCATGATTGGACACCGCACGCAAAATTGTGTCTGTACGCAATAATTTTTCCAAATTTTGAGTTTGATAATAATGAGTGGTGGAAATTGTCTGCACTAAAGTATAATACTTTGTTGGCAAATTCAATTTTGCGTTGGCTTGAATTTGCTCGAGTTGATTGTGAGCCGACCGCGAATCGGATCAAAATTGCTCGTGGACAGCCCTATCCATGAGCAAAGCCCTAAGCTTTATTGTAAGCCTTAAAAGATGCCTGGAACAAAAAAATTAAGGGAAAAATGAAAAAAGGTAAAAAGAAATTCCTTGTTGAGGAAAACTCAAGAGTTTTATTATATTCTCAAATGTACATTCTTTCGGGTCTAAAAGTCCAACCTAAACACACCCCGTCTTTAACCCGCCAACCCAAATCCGACTCGTATAACAAATTTACCATAAGGAAGAACATCTTTTGGGCCAACTTCTAGTCAATCTCAAGTCAAATCCAGGCTGGCTGGTCAATTTTGAGTCATATTCGATTTGGCAGGTCAACTTGAACCCAACTCAAAAAATTAAACGAGTTAAAATTCTTAACCCAAACCGATGCCAAAATTTATATGGATCAACCCAAACCCCGATTTTCAAATTGAATTTTGATCGAGCTCAATATGTAATGTCTAATAGATTAGATTTGTACCCATCGACATTATATGAAATAAAAAAAAAATCAAGAATATAATATTTGCACAGCATATCCTAACATAATATTTTTCTTGAATATATAATTAACATATTCCTCCAAACTTTATTTCATGATTTTTCGTATGGCACAAGTCAGCAACACATGGCCTTACTTGTGGGGTTGGTATCCTCAAGAAGGTCAAAACTGTAATTATTTAATTATGAAATTACGTGATTATATAATTATAGCAAAATTTACATACATACCACACAATTCTTACGTATTTATATCATCTAAAACCTAAAATATTTACATATACAACACTTTGGTACCAAGAATGCATGCATGAAAAGATGCATTTGATGTGATGCCAAAAAAATTGAATGGGGAAGTATGTAAATATGAAATTTTGGGTGTTAGATATGTAAATATATTAAGAATCTTTTGGTATGTATGTAATGCTATTTAATTATAATATGAAACATGCTGACCCTTCATACACCTTGTCTTTATGCCTATGTCCATCAAACAAGGGCCATGAAATAAGGAAATAGAGTAAAAGAGGCTAAGAATAAATAAATGATTAATATATTAATAAATATAAAATAATGAAAAATCAAACTATAATATTGATATAATATTATTAATCAATATTGATAGTATTAACCACAAAACTTTGATTATAGGCATAAGCTTTTTTTTTTTTTTCTTCAATTTGCATATTTGAATAAACTGCATCTTGGCAGCTTTTTCTGAAATTAGCATTTTCTCATTAGTCCTCCTGACTATGTGTGGTGACAGCTTTCTAGTTGAGTCTGACTATTTCACCAAATATATATATATATATTTGATAGCCACAGCAGTTTTTTGCACAATCAGATTATTTTTCACCAGTTTCACAACTGCATCTTAATGAGTTGCAGTTGCTGCATCTTAATGAGTTGCAGTTGCCCCAAATAAACCTAAGTTCTTCATAATAATTAATGCATTGAGTGAATTCTACATAAGAATTGAATTTGTATGAAGTCGTTAGCCGGCTTCATAAACCCGAGTTAGAGGGAGTAGTAGCACTAAATGATTTCGGGCAACTTGATCTTGTTAGCCTTCGAGGCGAGGGGTTTTATATATCGGTTTTGCGGTTGAAGTCTGAGTAAAATTTGGTCTGATTTGAAATAGTTCAACCTGAATATTAAACGGTTAGTAAATTTAATACGAACATTACCTACTTCAACCAGATTGATCCAAACCTGACATATGTAACCCTTCTAATATATATACATATCAGTTAATTAGGTTAAATTTAGGTCACTTTTGACTCATGTTCAGGTTAAATTCTAGTTCCTTTCGTGTTTCCGTTCAAATTCTACGATGTTTTGAGCAATTTTTTGGGATAGAAGGTTAACCGGAATCTGACCAAAAAAATTATTTGTGTTTAGATTTTTGGCCCAAATTTGACTTGAAAATTAATAGGGTCAACCCAAATCAATATTTTTTTAGTGGGGCTCAAATTATGTTGGCAAATTTGACCAATTTTTGGCACCCCTATTTAAGGAGAAAATATTGCATCTTGTGCGGACGGCCAATAACCGGCCGAACACAAGCGAGCCCAGTTTAGCTCGTGTTCGGCTCGTTTATATTTCGAGCTCATAAAGTGTGTTTGTGTTCGGCTCATTTGCTTAGTGAGCCGAACATGAGCCGTTCACAAACAAAGAGTCATTTTGACAACCCTAATCACGTAGTCATAATATGTTAAGAATTGGGGAAAAGATTTAAAAATTATTATTTATATTAAAAAATCATTTGAATCTAATTTAATAATTTTTATTCTATTTTCTTAATTAATATTTTTAATTGATTATAAATCTTTGTAGCCTTGTGGTCAATAAATTTAAAAAAAAAAACTCCTTATCAATATATAATTGATGAGTAGTTTTTCGAGCCAAAACAAGTTGAACATGAACGAACAAATTTTTGTTCGTGCGAGCGAGCCGGACACGAGCTGTTCACGAACAACGAGCCAATTTGAAATCCCTAATATTAATATATATAAATAATATCCCCGACCCACATAAGCAAATGTTTTTATTTTTATTTTTTTCTACTTATAACCGATTATTCGATAAATCTTTGAATAAAAGTTATCATTTATCTTCATAAAGAACTGATATCAAAATTAATTTAAAATTAATAAATTTATTTTAAAATTAGTGAAATATAAATTCTTTATTAAATTTTGTTTTTATTTTTTTATTTTTTTCCTTTTTTATAACCAACGATGCTAACTTAAGGACTAATCTAATTAACATGGGCCATTACAAACCGGGCTTTCATGTCAACAAATATGGGCCAATTAATCGAATACATTTTAACATTGTTATGAATACTTGATTGGTAAATTAATACGCTTGGTTGAATGATTTTAGAATTGGATCCATTTATGATCATGAAAAATATGATTTAAAGCTTATTATAAAGTTCACTTTATGCTCCATACTATATACAATTAAAACTCAATTACAAATTTTTATTACAATTTTACTTAATATTTGATTATGTGAGTCTTGTATTTTATTTATAACACAAGTTGGTTATTATGTTCTATTGGATCCAAAATTATATCATTAGTCTCACAACAGATAAGAGCATTTAACAAAACTTACCTACTAATGTTTGAACTTTTAGGATTTGTGTGGCGATGGCACGGTAGCGGTGCGATACCACACTGCAATTTTGTCTGACTAGATAAAATGTGTTTTGATAGCTTTTTCAAAAAGATGCTCCTGAAATGTGTTTTCACACGAGTCCTCGCTAGGTGTGATGACAGTTTTCTGGCTACGGTTTGATTTTGTTTTTGATTATCTAAGTATTCTTCAATAGCTTCATAGTTATTTTTTAATAAGTTGCAACTCACCCAAACAAAGCTAAGAGTGCATTTGGATTTGACATTGAAAGTTGTGGTCAGCTGAATCTGATTAGCTAACGAGTTGAACTTGGTGGACACCCCAACTCCTTTCATTAGCTTGTGAGCTAATTACTTCAAATGTATTAAATTTTAGGAGTATAAATCAATAATGATACCCAAAAATCATATTTTAGAGAAAAATATCAAAATAATCACCAACTATTTTGTAAATGGGTACATTAATCTAATGATCTATCAAAATATTAATTCATCCTCCAAATACTTTACAAATGAATTATTTTAGCCTCAATTATTGTAATAAACGTTTCATTTCCATCCATAATTGTTTGATAAACTCACAAAACTCTCACGAGTCTTCATGCGCATTCACAAACTTCAAATTGCTAAGATCTTACTACAGCATGATTTTCACACACACGCCCCTCAATTCTTATATATTCACATATCAAGCAACTAAATTTCAAATTTTATGTGATATAAGAGAAGAGGTATAAATGTAAAAAATGTAAAGGAATTTAGATATTTCCTATATATGAAAAGGTCAAAAGTGTAAAAATGAAAGTTTTGGTGTGAGGCAAGTAAATGCATGATTCATAAGAATTGGGTGTCTTGTATGTAACTTTTCCAAAAAAAATTTAAAATGTTCGTGGTAGATATGTAAATACATCTGAATTGAGGGTATGTATGCATGCAAATGAATCCAAAAAATAAACATAAAATCATTTGATTTGCTTCAAAATAAGTAAAACATAAACTCCTCATAACTCAGTAGTTAAAATATCATAACCCAAAAATTTATCGCAAATCCTGGAAATAACTGCAAAGAGAAATGAAAGTGGACCCGCAAAATCCTTATCCATCCAAACAATTCACAGGTTGAAAGCATAAAATCACCCAAAAATGGGATGAAAATGTAATAATGGAGAAGTAAGTTGAAGGCTCACGAGACAAACATCTCAGTTCTATTCTTCGTCTTCTTCTTCAGCATCACCACCAGCAGCCTTCTTAGCTGCAGCTCTCTGGTTCTTCCGCTTGACTCTCCCAGGGCGGCCGCCGCCGAAAGGACTGGTGAGCGAAAAATCAATGTGTTTTGCAGAATCAACCCTCACCATGAATGAGGGAATATTCACCACCTGCCTTCCAACCCTACAAAACAAAAGATTCAAACATTTAATCAATATTTTCTCTTATTTTTATCAAATTTACATATATCTATATATACAGCACAAGTCCAATGTATTTACATATCTAACGCATAAACTTCACCTTTTATATATATACCACTCAAATCTTTCACATCATTATTTTGACTTTTACAAGTGGGATACACCTGTTCATCCATAAATAAGGTAGCATATGTAAGCAAAAATTAAAGCTTTGGTGTTGGATGTGTAAATATGTAGTAACTGAGTGGTAAGTTTGCAACTCTTCCAAAATTTTTTTATATCAAGATAGATCTTAGAACCATACAATTTTCATTGGGAAGAGGGCAATATAATTTTCTGTTGATTCATTGTATATTAAAGTCATTTTAAAATAAGAAATGTTCTCATCAAATTTTAAATCAGGTACAAATCAAACCATTTGGTTGAGCATTTGGCATTAAAAACTTGGGGAGAGTTACATACACACCACATAATTCTTATGGATTTACACATATCAAGCACCAACATTTTAATATTTATTTGCATAGCATTCAAATCTCTGTGCTAGTATTTTCACCTTTTCTTTTTGTTTTAATATATATGCCCACCTTCCATGCATGAGAAGGTGCATTTCACTTTTAGAAGTTAAAATAAAGACATATATTAGATGTGTTATGAAAGATTTAGGTGACATAAATGTAAAAAAGTAAAGTTTAGGTATTATAAATGTAAATAGATGAGAATTGGGTGGTATGTATGCAAATTTCCCTTAAAGAAATTCATGTTTTGATCCAATTTAACTGTAAGCTGAATCAAGTATTTGGATCACTTGTATTTATCAGTTTCTCTCTTTTCATGTACAGTGATTCTTTCATCATTTAGGTTTGCTGCTCCTCGTCTGCTTTGCTCTATCTAACTCCTAAACTTTGATAGTTACAATTTGAGTGGTATGCATGTAAATATGAATGTCTAGTTGTTAGATATATAAATACATAAGAATTGCGAGGTATTACATGTAAATGCACCAATATTTAGACAACCGGATGTAACAAATTAACAGAAAAATAAAATATACAATGGAAAAAGATAAATGTTCCTATGAAAATAGCAATCTACATCAGGGGTTTCAAGTAAAAATATACAAACGTAGCACACAATTCTTATGTATCAACATATCTCACACCTAAACTTTCATATCCTAAACTTTCATATTTACACCTAAACTTTCATATTTACATGCATGGAACTTTGGTTCTTTAAAGCTATGCATAAAATGTGCATTTCACTTTACAAAGTAATATAGTGCCATTTAGATGTGATATTTAAAGATTTGAGTGTTATGTGCGTAAATATGAAAGTTTAGGTGTGATATATGTAAATACATAAGAAATGTGTCTCATATATGTAAATGTCCCAAAATGTTAATCCAACCGTCCGTTTAGAATGTCAGGCACTGCTTTAAGACCAATCATTAAATAAAAATTTAAGCATGAAGAATTACAATTATATAACATGCATTTACATGTCAAAATATAAATATTAAACCTTTTTATATGAGGGGCATTTACCTATACACCGCCCAATTAATGTATTTACATATCTAAAACCTAAACTATTTCTTTTTACATTTATACCACCCCCAAAATTTCATATCACAAAAAATACACCTATTTTAACTTTTAAAAGTGAAATACAACTATTTTAAAAATACCAGTATTTTAATTTTTAAAAGTGAAATACACCATTTTATGCATAGGAATGGTAGCATACATGTAAAAATTGGAATTTAGGTGTTAGATATGTAAATACATAGGAATTAATTGGTATGTATGTAAAAATTCTTTCTTTCACATGATCAAAATACAACAGGTAAGGAAAAGGAAGATCAACATACTCTTAACACATCTAAGCTTGGATTTTTACATTTATACCACCTTTCCTATGCATGAAAAGGTGTATTTCACTTTTTAGAAGTTAAAAAAGTAGTATTTTGATGTCATATGAAAGCTTTGGTGGTATAAATGTAAAAAAGGAAAACTTTTGGCGTTAAATATGTAAAAAGATAGGATTTGGGTGGTATGTATGCAAATGCCCCAAGAAAAAGTTCCTAAAATAATTGAAAATCCATATACAAACAAGGATCAATCTAGAGTAATGAACCAAAGGAAAGGCAGTTGGTTTAAATTTTAAACTCACATCAAACATCATTTTGCATTATGATCCCTTAACAACAACAAATCTAACTATAAATAAGGGTGTGAAGCTAACGGCACAAAAAAAAATGCAAATTTGCAAAAATCTTCAGAAGAATTCTTTACATAAAAACTCAAAAGTTTCCGGCAACCATCAGAGAAATAGGATAACATTCATCAGAGTAAACATCCAAACAGGAGGACTCAGATGACCGTCGTGAGATGTGAAATCCATTTTCATCATGTGGTAGTTTTTAATAGACAACAGGACCTCAAACTTTCTACAAACCCAGGAAACTTTTGTTAAAAAAAAGAAAGTCCAAAAGGATATATCTGTAAATAACATGAATTATCCCTGAACAAAATCAATTTTTTAATACAAATGAAAATGCTAAGATGCATAACAAGAATATAATTAAAATCTAAAGCATTGGCATTCAGCAAAACAAAAGAATTTATCATGCTGAGAGATAAAAAAACCTACAAATGAGTATCCAAATCATCAAAGAAAAGGGACATTGGCAAATTACCACCCAATTCCTACGCATTTACATATATGACAATATAACACCAAAAATTGGATTTTTTTTTACATTAATACCACCCAAATCCTTTATATCCACCATTTTAACTTAAAAAAAAAAGCAAAATACACCTTTTCATGCATATGTAAGGTGTTAGGTATGTAAAACATGAACTTTAGGCATAAAAAAATGTAAATACATAGCATGAATGTAAATATTTCAAAAAATTATCAGCAAAAATAAATAATATGCTTTAGAAAACCAAAAAAAGAAAACATCAATACCGAATATGGCGCTGCCTGATTAGAACCCTAGCGTGGTGAATGGACTTCGCCATTCCAGACTTGAAGACCTGGGTTTGCAGCCTGCGCTCCAGGAAGTTCTCCACAGTAAGAGCTAAGACATAGTCGAGCTTGTTCTGCCCCTCCTCCAAAAGCCCGTATCGAAACATCCGGCGAAGAAGAGCCTCCCCCTCAAATATCCGCTTCGGATTCTTCTCATCCAGCGTCAGAAGCTCCCTCGCCGCATTCCTGATCCTGCTCAGAGCATACTGAACCCTCCACAGCTCCCTCTTGCACCGAAGCCCGTACTCCCCAACCAGCTTCAGCTCCGCGTCCAGCCGTTCCTTCTCGTAGGGACGCCTGGGTTTCTTGAATGTCTTCCCATCTAAGATTTAAATAATCATGTTAGGGTTTCCAATTCAGATCCGTACCACTTGAACAAATACATGCAGAAGAATCGCGATAGTGTTTCCGATCCGGATCCAAAACTGCTTGCGAGCGAAGTTTGTTGAAATTCGAAAATCGCATGTGAGATCATCAGTTTTGCAACTCATAAAAGAAGAATAGAATAGAGTTCATCTAATAAAGCAAAAGCCGAAATACAGAGAATCGTGAAATCAGCCAACACGCACCCAAATTCGAGGAAGAAACGCAACAAAGAAAATAAAAATGGGAGTAAAAGAAGAGCGGATCGAAGGGGAGTTGTGAAAAAGGAAGAAGCTTACAGTTCCTGTAGAAGCTAACGTGAACCATGGCGACTTCTCCTTTTCCGGCTTCTCAGAATGGAGGCGGCGTAGGGTTCTTATAGCTTCAGGAAAAGGTTCCGGAAAAACCCTAACGAGCATTAAAAATGGGCCGGGCCTTCCAGTGAACTTTGACACGAACGATGCTAAAAGCCCACCATTTACATGCGTACCACTAAATTCATATATTTCTAACCCCTAAATTTTGCTTTTTATATTTATATCACTCAAATGTTTAATATTTCATAAAAAATGTCACTATCACAAATTTTTCAAAATTGAAATATACATTTTCATACAAGTATGACACCATGGTGTTATAGATATAAATATTAAATCTTCCTCTGATGTTGACTTGGTCCCAAAACCCGATCTTAGCGAGGTGGCCCTGATGAACTTTATTAGATAATCCTTATTGACTTAAATATATCAATAGGTAGATCCACATATATCATTCCTATAGCTCTCCTCAGTAGACTTCGTATATTGAGTGGTGCTTTCTCTATTTAATTGCTCGCCTCCTCTTAGAATCTAGTCAATTATAATTCTTATAAGCCAATGACATATTTTCTCTTAGGCTACCCGACAGCAAATTGACACGGACTCACCTTCACAACCTTAAAATACCATCTATTTGATCAGCCAAAATCCCTTCTCATTGGAGCGTCTTCCTTAAAATTTTCCCCTCTCGATGACTTATTATAAGAATTCTTCATTTGTAAAAGCTTTGACAACGTCTCTTTCAAAAATCTCCTCTTGTGTCATCTTATCTTGAAGACTTTGCCTTTGTTAATGCTTTGTCAATTCCCTTATCTCATGAATTCACCGCCTTCCTTTACAACCCATCTTATGGGAGTTGTCCCTCATTGGTAATCTATTTTGATTTGTCGTCAAAACTCTTCCTAACAAAACATTAACAGCTATCCTAAGAAGCTTTCTTCTTGATAGCTCATCACAAAAGCCCACTTTTTTGGTGTCTTATTCATGCATTAACAAGTTATTGCTTAATGAACTCCTTTTTTTTTTTACTTCTCTTCAGATATCTTCATGTCCAAGTATCATATCATTATTCTTACATGAAAATATACCCTTCTTGATCACTTAATCCAATAAAACTTCTGATTGTTAGTGACATCTTTTGATTTATTCTTCATAAACATGCAACAAAACCTTATGAAATCATTCATTGTCAACTACTTAATCTAATTGAATTTTGGCAGATCAGTGACTTATCGAATGAAACTAATAATTATTGATGACTCTTCGAGTGATCTACTCATCTACTTGTCTTAAATATCTTTCATTTATGAGAACCCACTTTTTATTTTAAAATTTTAATTCTTAATCAACTTTGGGTAAAACCTACTACAGACATCTCATAATTAGGTGTCAACATGAAAATCTTAAAATGACTTGAGACTATTCACCAATGCCAAAGAGGATAGTTTTGCTCTTGCTTGTGAATCAAGTCATAATGCCCTTTAGATGTCCTTTAGTTCATTTATAAATGATTGAAGGACCATTCATGGCATATGCTTTTTTAGGTACTTATTTTAGTTCTTTTGGCAAGCTTAGCCTTCCACTAGCTCCAATGCATTCTTTTGGCAAGCTTAGCCTTATATAAGAGAATGCAGATGTCTAAAAAGTTCCCCATATGGGTTTGTTTGTAACATTGAAGAAGTGCTTGATAGAATAAGCTCTTGGCCTTTCTGTATCTTCAAACTAAAACCATCAATATAATTCTTCATCTTCTATCTTTTTTTTTTTTCTAAAAAAATGAGTAATGCTGGGATAGATTTGTAATGTGGGGAGAACAAGTCAAAAATGGCTCTTTTATTCCGGCGAGCTCCGTAGAACTGCTCTACTCTCAGTAATGTTCACTTCTGCATCCAACTTCCGTTCTTCTTCATCGACCTGAATTCAGAAACCTCCCATGGAGTCATCACGCTCGCTCAAACCTTCTCAAAACCATGCACAAAACCTTAAGATCTCTCTGCCTCTCCGGAAGACTAAACGAAGCCGTCAAAACCCTCTTCTGCAGCGGCTCCCCGATCTCTCCTCCCACCTACTCTCTCCTCCTCCAGGAAAGCATTCACCGGCGAGAGTTTCTGCTCGGAAAAGCAATTCACTCCCACATCATAGCCACCGGATTCACCCCAACCAAATATCTCAACACCAAGCTTCTCATCCTCTATACAAAAGCCGGCGAATTGAAATCCGCCCACCACCTGTTCGATGAAATGCCTGATCCGAATCTCTTTGCATACAACGCAATGATCTCGGGCTTCGCGCACGAAGGCCTGGAGCGAGGAGGTCTTGAGCTATACTACTCGATGCGTGACAATGGAGTAGATCCTGATCCCTTCACCTTCTCATCAGTTTTCCATGCGTGTGCTGGACTGGCTGCTCTGGAGCACGGCAGGCGAGCTCATTGTCTAATGATCAAGAGGAAGGCGGTGGCCAATGTGGTAGTTGGCAGCGCTCTCGTGGATATGTACTTCAAGTGCAGCAGTTTGGATGATGCACGAAGGGTGTTTGACGAATTGCCTGACCGAAATGTGATTACTTGGACCTCTCTGATTTCGGGTTACGGACTCCACGGGAAAGTAAGAGAGGTGATTCAACTGTTTCATCAGATGGAAGAAGAAGGTTTCAGGCCAAATTCAGTTACATTTCTTTCTCTTCTCTCGGCCTGCAGCCATGGCGGTCTTATTGATTCCGGATGGAAGTATTTTGTTTCCATGATCGAAGATTACCGAGTCGCGCCGAAGAAGGAACATTACACGGTCATGGTCGATATGATGGGACGAGCGGGGAAGTTGTATGAGGCGTACGAATTCATACGTACCTCGCCTTGCGAATCGCATTCCACTGTTTGGGGAGCTTTGGTTGGAGCTTGCAGAATCCATGGGGATGTGGAGATGGTGAAGGTTGCAGCAAGCAGGTTTTTTGAGCTGATGCCGGAGAATGTCGGGAAGTATGTGGTGGTTTCTAATGCCTTTGCTGCTTCTGAGATGTGGGAGAAGGCTGCTGATGTTTGGGAGAGAATTGGGAGGTTGGGGATGAGGAAGGGGATTGCTTGGAGTTCTGTGGCTTCAGGTAAGTAGTGATCTTATTTTTTCGTTTGATATGGTTTTTAAGGAAAGGAATCATGATCATATTACATATAGACATACTACTTTAGTGCTTTAAACGATTGCATGAAAATGTGTATTTCACTTAAAAAAAAGTGATAATAGTGTTATTTTTTTAATGTGATAATAAAGATTTAAGTTCTATGTTTGTAAATATGAAAATGGGAGATTTACATACCTACCCACTTAATTGTTTAAAGATTGCATGCTTAAATCATTTAGGTTTTGGACATATTCATATGAATTATGTGAAATGAACTTTGTATGAAGACTTAATTGTGTAGAGACTTATTTTGGAAAGGACTTTCAAGTAGGGGTGTTACTGGGCCAAACCGATTCATGTGTTGGCTAGATAAGTGAGAGTTGAGTTTGATGAGCTATCAAGTGAAGTTTGAACTTAAAATAGACCTGACTCGAACTCGATAGCTCCTGAACTAGCTTATTTAATATATATATAT